TTTTGGTGATCAACTTGCGGGTTCCGCCCATGAACCTATGCATAGGGGTTCGCACACGTTTTCGTCGTGATTCTCCGGTAGAAACTTTGGGGCACTCTTTGAGGTTCTATGTGTTGGTTGAATAGATGAATCTGAGATTGTGTGATGCATATCGTATAATCATACCCACAGATACTTGAGGTGACATTGGAGTATCTAGGTGACATTAGGGTTTTGGTTGATTTGTGTCTTAAGGTGTTATTCTAGTATGAACTCTAGGGCTGTTTGTGACACTTATAGGAATAGCCCAACGGATTAATTGGAAAGAATAACTTTGAGGTGGTTTCGTACCCTACCATAATCTCTTCGTTTGTTCTCCGCTATTAGTGACTTTGGAGTGACTCTTTGTTGCATGTTGATGGATAGTTATGTGATCCAATTATGTTATTATTGTTGAGAGAACTTGTACTGGTGAAAGTATGAACCCTAGGCCTTGTTTCAACGCATTGCAATACCGTTTACGCTCACTTTTATCATTAGTTACCTTGCTGTTTTTATATTTTCAGATTACAAAAACCATTATTTACTATCCATATACCACTTGTATCACCATCTCTTCACCGAACTAGTGAACCTATACAATGTACCATTGTATCGGGTATGTTGGGGACACAAGAGACTCTTTGTTATTTGGTTGCAGGGTTGCTTGAGAGATACCATCTTCATCCTACGCCTCCTACGGATTGATAAACCTTAGGTCATCCACTTGAGGGAAATTTGCTACTGTCCTACAAACCTCTGCACTTGGAGGCCCAACAATGTCTAGAAGAAGAAGGTTGTGTAGTAGACATCACTATTATATTTGGATCTTATGATGCTTCTCCCCCTCTACTCTCTTGTGATGAATTGAGTTTTCCCTTTGAAGTTATCTTATCAGATTGAGTCTTTAAGGATTTGAGAACACTTGATGTATGTCTTGCATGTGCTTATCTGTGGTGACAATGGGATATCACGTGATCCACTTGATGTATGTTTGGTGATCAACTTGCGAGTTCCGTGACCTCGTGAACTTATGCATAGGGGTTGGCACACGTTTTCGTCTCGACTCTCCGATAGAAACTTTGGGGCACTCTTTGAAGTTCTTTGTGTTGGTTGAATAGATGAATCTGAGATTGTGTGATGCATATCGTATAATCATACCCACGGATACTTGAGGTGACATTGGAGTATCTAGGTGACATTAGGGTTTTGGTTGATTTGTGTCTTAAGGTGTTATTCTAGTACGAACTCTATGATAGATTGAACAGAAAGCATAGCTTCATGTTATTTTACTACGGACTCTTGAATAGATCGATTAGAAAGGATAACTTTGAGGTGGTTTCATACCCTACCATAATCTCTTCGTTTGTTCTCTGCTATTAGTGACTTTGGAGTGACTCTTTGTTGCATGTTGAGGGATAGTTATATGATCCAATTATGTTACTGTTGTTGAGAGGACTTGCACTAGTGAAAGTATGAACCCTAGGCCTAGTTTCAACACATTGCAATACCATTTATGCTCACTTTTACCATTAATTACCTTGCTGTTTTTATATTTTCAGATTCCAAAAACCATTATCTACTATCCATATTGTACTTGTATAACCATCTCTTCACCGAACTAGTGCACCTATACAATTTACCATTGTATTTGGTGTGCTGGGGACACAAGATACTCTTTGTTATTTGGTTGCAGGGTTGCTTGAGAGAGACCATCTTCATCCTATGCCTCCCACGGATTGATAAACCTTAGGTCATCCACTTGAGGGAAATTTGCTACTGTCCTACAAACCTCTGCACTTGGAGGCCCGACAACATCTACAATAAGAAGGTTGTGTAGTAGACATCAAGCTCTTTTCTGGTGCCGTTGTCGGGGAGGTTAGCGCTTGAAGGTATATCTTTAGATCTTGCAATCGAATCTTTTTGTTTCTTGTTTTAGCACTAGTTTAGTTTATAAAATAAAACTAAAAAAATGGAATTGAGTTTGCCTCATATGCTTCATATTTTTAATATCTTTCGTGAGAATGATTGTAACACCCATGATGCGGCTATATCTCCCACGTGTCGGAGCACGACTTACAGGCATAACCGCATAGTAGGCATGTCACAAGAGGGGTAATCTTTACACATCCCATGTATGGAATAAGAATGGGATAAAGAGTTGGCTTACAATCGCCACTTCACACGATACATGAATATAGCATTAAATCATCCAGAATACAATCAAGGTTCGACTACGGAACCAAATAAAGAGAGACCACCCCAAATGCATAGATCCCCGATCGTCCCAAGTGGGCTCCACTATTGATCAACTGGAAATGAAACAACACAATGAGCACGATCTTCATCGAGCTCCTCCTTGAGCTCGGTTGCATCACCTACACTGGTATCATCGGCACCTACAACAGTTTGGAAGTATCTGTGAGCCACGGGGACTCAGCAATCTCACACCCGCGAGATCAAGACTATTTAAGCTTATGGGTAGGAAAAGGTAGTGAGGTGGAGCTGCAGCAAGCACTAGCATATATGGTGGCTAACTTACGCAAATGAGAGCGAGAAGAGAAGCAAAGCACGGTCGTGAACTAGAAGTGATCAAGAAGTGATCCTGAAACTACTTACATTCAAGCATAACACAAGAACCGTGTTCACTTCCCGGACTCCGCCGGAAAGAGACCCTCACGGCTACACCCACGGTTGATGCATTTTAATTAAGTTCAGTGTCAAGTTCTCTACAACCGGATATTAACAAATTCCCATCTGCCCATAACCGCGGGCACGGCTTTCGAAAGTTCAAAACCCTGCAGGGGTGTCCCAACTTAGCCCATCACAAACTCTCACGGTCAATGAAGGATATTCCTTCTCCCAGGAAGACCCGATCAGACTCGGAATCCCGACTACAAGACATTTCAACAATGGTAAAACAAGACCAGCAAAGCCGCCCGAATGTGCCGACAAATCCCGATAGGAGCTGCACATATCTCGTTCTCAGGACACACCGGATGAGAAGTCCGTACAACTAAAACCAACCCTCAAGTTTCCCCGAGGTGACACTGCAAGGGGCTCTAGTTTGGACCAACACTCAGAGGAGCACTGGCCCCGGGCGGGGGGGTTTAAAATAAAGATGAACCTTGAGTGTGCAGAACCCAAGGGGAAAAGGCTTAGGTGGCAAATGGTAAAACCAAGGTTGGGCCTTGCTGGAGGAGTTTTATTCAAAGCAAACTGTCAAGGGGTTCCCATTATAACCCAACCGCATAAGGAACGCAAAATCAAGGAACATAACACCGGTATGACGGAAACTAGGGCGGCAAGAGTGGAACAAAACACCAGGCATAAGGCCGAGCCTTCCACCCTTTACCAAGTATATAGATGCATTAAAGTAAACAAGATATAATAATGATATCCCAAACATATCCATGTTCCAACATGGAACAAACTTCATCTTCACTTGCAACTAACAACGCTATAAGAGGGGTTGAGCAAAGTGGTAACATAGCCAAACAACGGTTTGCTAGGACAAGGTGGTTAGAGGTTTGACATGGCAATATGGGAGGCATGATAAAGCATGTGGCAGGTATCGCGGCATAGCAAAAGAGCGAGCAACTAGCAAGCAAAGATAGAAGTGATTTCGAGGGTATGGTCATCTTGCCCGAGATCCCGCAAGGATGAAAGAACGAATCCATGAAAAAGACAAACGGACGTAGATGAACGAATCCTCACAACTCCGAAACGCAACCGAAGCTAACGCGGGAAGTAACCCGGAAAGAAGCAAGCAACATAGTAAACAACCATCACATGAACATGGCATGATGCACAACCAAGTATGATGCATGTCCAGTTTAAAGAGGCATGCCATGGAAAAGTGCACAAGCAATTCTACAAATTAAGTGGAGCTCAATATGCAACAAGTTGCATATTGACGAAACACCACAACAAGTTATTTAGATCGATCTCGTTTATGTACTCAACAATATTAAATGTTGTTTAGCATGGCAAGGGGTGAAGCAAAGTAAAACTACCTATCTAGGCAAGTTTAAACGAGGCCGCAACAACAAGCAACAAGTCAATAAAATCCTCATATGCATTTAGCAAATTAATGCAAACAACAATTTAAACACTCTTGATGTTGTTATCATGATGTGGATGGCATTTGCAAGTTTTATGCAATTTTTATTAAAAGTTGACATGATAAGATATGAGGCATTTGTCCTCGTGGCGGAAACGAAAGGGGTGCCACGACAACGAATCCGAAAATGATGCCACGGCAACATTCCGGTTCCGGTAACTCGATTGAGATGCCGGTGCAAAAGAGAGTGTGATGGGAGCATGTCATGCAAGGATGGTGGGGTGATCTCGGTAACCGGGTGTCCCACGAGACAATGGTATGGCAACGGGGAACATGCAAGAAACATGTCGGGCACGGTGCAAACGCGAGCATTTCATACAACAAACATGTGTTCGTTCACGGACGTCGTCTCGGCGGTTATACCTTCGAAGTGTGCGGTTCGAGGCGGATTGAGTGCGTCAAGGGAAGTAGTCATTCACGTGTCGTCGAGGGAAGTAGTGGTTCATGTCCGTTGATGTTCGGGGTCACGACACAGAACTTGACGTCCACGGGGTCTTCAGCGATGGTCGTGGTACATGTTCTGTAGACGTTCGGGCGACGGTAGTGGAACATGTTTTGAAGGGAAAGTAGAGGTTCTTGCGTCATGCACGGGATGGTATTTGTACACGGTCATCATGGGAAGTAAAGGTACACACAAAGGTAGTCGAACTTGACAGTTCCGTTATACGGTTCTTTAGCGACACTAGTCGTTCCCGTTCGTTCTAAGAGGAGCTCGACGCATCCCGGATGAGTAGTCGTACACGCACGTAGATGAACCCGCGTAGTTGTACATATCTTTATGCCGTAGTCGAACTTGATGAAACCCACGGCGATGGTAGACGTACACGGCCGGCTTTAAGGAACTTGGTGAAACCAAAACATGGCAGCACAGAACGGTCTTGGCGGTCAACGACGGGAGGTGGCGGCGAAGCAGCAGCAATGTGCGGGCACTGGCAGCGGCATCCGCGAGCAGAGGCACAACGCTGGTCGTGGGCACCGGCAGCGAAACAGGACGACGAAGCAGCAAATGCAGCGAGGCAGCGGTGCGGTGGTGAGCTCGCAGGACGAGGACGACGACGAGCTTGGCTCATCCGGAGGTAGGGACGAGGCCCTGCCGGCAGGCAGGAGGCTCAGAGGAGGGATGCGAGGTCGAGGAGGAGGCCTCGGGCATGGAACGCGGGCAACTGCTACGGGCGCCATGGCCATGGCCGTGGTCGGTGGAGGAAGGCAAGGCGGCATGGCGGCCAAGGGGCAGCGCTCGGCGGTGTTCGAGGGAGGAGCTGGCGATGGGGGGTTGCGTGGGATCGGGAGGAAGGGGTCGAGGGGGCTCGCGACATAAGAGTAGGACGAGGGGATCGGGATCGAGCCAAGGCCCCTGGCGGCGCTGAGGAAAAATGAGGGAAAGGAGCAATGGATCGGGCAGGAGGCGGCTAGGGTTAGCTGTAGGTGGGCTGGCGCGGGAGGCCCAGTTGGGAGGAGGTCCAACAGGCCGGCCGGTGGGGAGGGATTGGCCTAGAGAGGCCTGCTGTCGAAGCTCTCCCTTCCTAACTCTTTTTCCTTTAACAGAAAAGCATAGAGAGAAGAAAAAGAAGAGGGGGGTTAGGAAAGAATTATCGCACGAGGGTAATATTTCTGGACTCACAAAAATGTGAGGAATTTAAATAAAATGGCAAGAGGATTTTTGGAGAACAATGGATTCGCACATGTTGAATTTAATTCAACATGTTTGAATTTTGAAACCCATTCGAAAGGACTCTAAATGGGCTGAGATTTTTCAGAGGAGCCTCGATAAAAGAGATGAGAGATATTGGCAAGGTTTGAAGGTCAAACTCGAAGAGGAATAGACATGGGAATTATTTTGCACGTGTGTTATGATGATTCCAAATTAATGGAATATTTATAATAGCTCCCTAAATATTAGAAGGATAATGTTATAAAGAGAAGTCACTCTTCCCTCGATTTAAATGGATCGAAGATCCACACAATTTATTTAGTTGAGATGCAAAAGATTTATGACATGATGGCATGATGACATGATGCAATGCAAAAATAAAAGGAGCAAGCAAAAATGAAACACACAGAGAAACCCGGAACCTATGGAAGTCTTCTCGAGCATCGGTCTTGGGGTGTCACAACACTCCACCACTACAAGAGGATCTCGTCACGAGATCTAGGACGACACCGGAGGAAAACGAAAGTGGAAGAGAAGAGGTAAAACTAAGTTGCTTCTTTGACAAATGAGTGAAAACAAGGAGCCTTGAGAGGTTGAACAACTTGAAAGAAAAAATACAATGAAGATGCACAAAGTTGAAAACACTATGTTAGAAAAGAGGAACAAGGAACATTACTAGAACCTTGTAGGTTGAAAGATATAAGAAAAAGGGTTGCAATGGACAAGAAGTACATGCAAGCACTCTGGTAAAAACGAGATGGAGAAGGAATAAAATTGATATAATTTGGGCAGCACTCCGACTGTAAATGGAAGGAATAGAACATGAACTTGACAAGATTACAAGATGCTTTATTAAATCAACAACACACTGCCTCCAGAACTATTGAAAGAATGGCACAATGGGTAAGAAAGATTTCAGACGACACTCTGGTTAAATGGATAAGCACGAAAAGAACATGGTCCTCACAATCCGAGATGATGAGTGAAGAGAGCAACATCACAATGCCTCCAGAACAAAAGAATAGAAGTTGGATCGTTCGAAAGGAAAGAATTGAGAGGAAAATGACATCTTCTACCACAATTGAATTTGGAAAGCATCCTTAAAAAAAGGATTGGACGGAGTTGTTAGGAAATCAACAACGAAAAGAATAGGCTTGTTGAGGGCTTATGGAAAACATCTCAAAAAATTGAGGTGAAAACTTGCCACTCACGGAAAAGATTTGATTGGGAGCTAGAAAAAAAAGATAGAAATCTCCTTCCACCGAGGTGATAAGGATAAAACTTGGGTCATAGATAATCACCACAAAGAGCAACATTCCCAATGGAAGGCTTTAGGTGAAATATAACCCAAGATAACTCCAATGATGAGATTAATGGATTTAAAATATCTCATACTTGACACCTTGTGAATCATGAAACACGAAGGGAAATTATCAAGAATGACATAACACCATCCCAAAAGATAAGTTAGAAATAATTGCACTTCGGAATGCAAGATGAAGAATACTTGAGCTCCTTTGAAAAGAATCTCGATGAACACTTCGAGAAGGAATTAAAATCCTTGATGAACCACCATGTAGAGCCTTCATGAAGAACTCCGGTAACAAAATGATAATAAAAAGAAAGAGAAGTTGAAAACACAAGGTGAAGCCTTATAATGATTTAGATGGATCTTCGTGATGATATAATAGAGAGAGCTTGGAACTCCGGGAAAAAGAAGATGAACAAATGAAAACAAGAATTTTGATGAACCTCTGGAATAAGGAATTAATCATTTGGGTGAAACAATAATAAGAATTACATTATGCATATCCTTCACCACTTTAGCTTGATGACAAGCAACGGATTTGGCATACTACTTATTCTCGTAGAAGGATTAAGATAGATATAGCGCAACTTGAGAAGGTCTTCAACGATCCACCGGTGGAATTTGAAAAGCACGAATGCATTGATATGATAAACTAAGGAAGAAGAATCTTGGAAGAACAACCGTAAGAATTAAAAATGAATGAAGAAAAGATGAAGAACACCGGGTAGAATTGGGAAACGAATGAAGATACTTGAGGGAATTTAGATGCAAGAGAATGAAGATATCATGAACTAATTAGAGGATACTTGAATGATGCACCGGTATGATTTGGAGAACGAGAGCTGAAAGCTGGAATGAATAAACCCGAATTGGTGGCCTTCGGAGGAAAGAAATGGAAACAACTCATGAAATGCTCCGGATGGGTGAAAAGAATTCTCACAATCGAAAACAATTATGAGAGGATGGCATAAGCTAGAACCACGAATCTTTGAGAGAACGGGATAGATTTAGAAGAAACACTTCTTCAGTCTTCACAATCCGAGAATGACGACGAGAAACACCATCATGAATTGTTGCGGCACTCCGGAATGAAAAATTAGAAAGATTGAACAAACAATGAAAAGAATTTGAAAGATCTTGAAGAAAGACATCTGACTGATGATAACTCATTCTTACATCAAACTTTAAAATATTTGATAATCGCTCCGGGAAAATTAGAAGAGTCAGGTAAGATCCTGGGAAAAGACCTGTGGGTTAGGGCCCACTCAAAAGAAACACCTTTGAATGATTGCTTGAAAAGAGAGATTGCACTAGTTGAATTAAATGACTTGAATGAGATAATAACCTCGAAATAGGTTGAACGGATCTTGAATGACAAGACGAATCTCCTAAGATATCTTGAGCACTCCAGAACAAATGAATAGTGAGAGGTGAATGATAAAGAGGTGCAACGGCATGGGAAAGCATTTGAAACAATGAAAGGAATATGATCAACACCAAAAACTTGAATTGAGTCCACGGGAGAAGAAAACGAATGAAGAATGATGAACTTGAAGCTCCGTTAGCATCTTCCTGAGAATCACCAGATAAGAACATTGATGGAAAAGAATGGAGAGACTTCCCATAAATAGAAGGATACTTGAATAAGAAATCTGAGTCCTTGAAGAAAAAGGGTGGGTGGGCGGGAAAACAAAGGCAACTTGGGCGGATGAAACAAATAATGTTGAGAAGACATTGAGTCGATCTTGCGGATGTTGAAAAAGATCGAATCCACTAGAAGAGAAACACGCCGGTTGAAAAGAATTAATATGACCATCTTGATGATCGAAAAGATTAGTATTCACATAGAAATATGAGAACACCGCTTAGAAGGAGACATGGAATCAACATTTGACATTGAAGCAACTCGAATACCACAACTCAAAACAAAAGAAAGGATTGGCTTGCAAAATAATCCGGAACAAACATATGATAGAGATTTTGTCCGAAGTTTTCGTGGTGGGGCCCACACGGGCTCGATCGTACAGCACCATCATGTACAAGGCAGTGCACATGACATACGAAGCGTCCCCGAGTAAGCATAGCCAAGGACTCTTTAAGACACAACGAGACCACTGTAAAACCAACCGTGGATAGGCGGACCACTAGACGTCGAACCCCAATCTCATATCATGCATCTGTCGGAAAGATATCCTAGGAGCTACTTGAATTCCCACTTATAAAACTCCTGAAACTTTCTGGTTATGCAATTAGGTGTTGGGGATACAGGGGAAGCATAATATCTCACCCAAACTAGCAAATCCTATATCTAGTTGTATCCATCCCTCAACACATAACCAAGAAACCTTCGGAAATCATTTACCTCAACCTTCGAAAAGCATCTGTTATACGAGTTATGGCAATACTCCCGAACTCCCGCCCCAGTACTGGGCGTCGTCGAGGTTATCTCACCAACAACTGCATAAAAGAGATTTTCGATATCGGCGAGACTCATGTATTCCAGAATAGCAACGATAAAATTGTGAAGACAACACCTCGGAGCTCAACTCCCCGGGACACTGCCACAACCCCTAAATGTCAGGAGGCACCAAGAACAATGTTCTCGTCACAAAACCATCGGAATGATTCCAAGATACCTGCGTCATCCTAAATTTTTTTAGTGAAATTTGAGGAGAGAAGAGCCAAAACTCTACATCAGGAGGCCTCACCAGAGCAACGAAGGGACTGAGGAGTAAAAAGAATCATACTCTCTGATATATATATAAACCTATAAGACTCAAAACATTTTTCTAGACTCAACAACGCCAGTGATTCGATCAAGCAGGGGGATCCTAAGTCGGGGAAGGCTCTGATTACCAACTTGTAACACCCACGATGCGGCTATATCTCCCACGTGTCGGAGCACGACTTAGAGGCATAACCGCATAGTAGGCATGTCGCAAGAGGGGTAATCTTTACACATCCCATGTACTGAATAAGAATGATATAAAGAGTTGGCTTACAATCGCCACTTCACACAATACATGAATATAGCATTACATCATCCAGAATACAATCAAGGTCCGACTACGGAACCAAATAAAGAAAGACCACCCCAAATGCATAGATCCCCGATCGTCCCAACTGGGCTCCACTACTGATCAACTGGAAACGAAACAACACAACGAGCACGATCTTCATCGAGCTCCTCCTTGAGCTCAGTTGCATCACCTGCACTGGTATCATCGGCACCTGCAACTGTTTGGAAGTATCTGTGAGCCACGGGGACTCAGCAATCTCACACCCGTGAGATCAAGACTATTTAAGCTTATGGGTAGGAAAAGGTAGTGAGGTGGAGCTGCAGCAAGCACTAGCATAT